GGGTGTCATAATCATGTAACTCTGGTAGCAAACCTACTACAGAAGTGGCACCAATTGGAGATGTTTGATTAGTAGTAGGGACCTACTCACCGAGCTTCGAGGTGATTCATTTGCCGTCAGGTCATCTACTACTCCGTAATGGGAAAATGCCACGAGAGGACATCTGATCTCCTCCTCCTCCTGCTTCAACCACTGTGAATGGACCATCCATTATATCTGCCCTGCTTCCCACCACTACCACCATCACCTGTGCTGCGATTCACACCTCCACTCTTCAGTCAACTGACTGCTATTCCATCCTTCTTGCATATTCCTCTACTAATGGAAGCCAATAGGACGTCAGGGAAACACAGAAGTCGCAGTCTGTAAAGACAGCGCTGCCACTAATGAGAAATCTGTCCTCCTCTGACAGCCAATCAGCATGCAGTCAGCTGATCCCCCTTCGACCGACTGGTCGATCAATCACATGACTCTGCACCGACCGTGGTTTGTCCATAGCCGCCTCACCTTACGTTGCCTTGCCTCACCTCGGCCCCGGCGGCTGACAGCACGAACCAATCAAGTGGGGAACCACTCTTGAACGACCTCACCGTCCACCTCAAAGAAAATTCACCCACAAGGAGAAACGCCTTCGACGAGCGAATTTTACGCAATTCATAGCAGACTTACGCATCTCTTCGCTGATGCAGCCTTCTTCATTCTGTCATTTCTACCTTACACCACTCCATGTTTGCCACGAACAGAAACTGCATCGTCCATCAAAGACCTAACAGCTATCGCGAGCAAAGGGTATGTTTCTGCTCACTTTTACCATTACCACTTTTCTCTGAAACGCTACCATGGGTAGCTGCAAACATGTTGTGTGAACAGGTAAGAGCCTTTCTTACATCAGCTTTTACAAAATATTTGGATTTTTTCTTGACATTTGCCCTTTATGCACGAACTATCGACACCAAAGCAGACCTTGCGCTGGTGAAAGATCCTTCCTCAGACCCGCATGACTCAAGTGACCACATCTAAGAACCCGGATTTAGTCTCTATTATTGTACCAATCCTTTAGCGGTTAAATACCATCAGAATTTCACCCCGCATTCATTACAAAGACCCGCCTCAGAGGAAAGTAGACCAGCACACTGCCTAGAAGCAGTACTTTTACTTAATCCAAAACCATGTCGCGTCGATCTCGTTACTTTAAAGCCAGCCAAACTGTTTGTAATAAGCAATTTGCGGCGACTACATTTACCACAATACAAAAAACAACATAAGCGCGACGTACGTGATAAACTTGTTGGGCATTTTGTAACACTTCCAGCGCTATCATGTTTCTGATCTTTGGATTGTTTCATTCTGTTCCTCGTTCAGGTAGTTGATGAAACCTAATAAGGCTTCATGCCGATGCCATTAAATGGCACAAAAACCCTAAGATTTCAACATAGTCAAAAAATTCTTTTTAGTTTCAAAGATAGTCAAAAGCTTAAGGATAGATCCACCCCACGTCTTGAACGCCGTGTATGATTCGATTTTGCTTACAATGTTCACTTTTACTTATCCATCGTAAGACAAAATTCCTTTCCCGATCGCAGCAAATAAAATAGTTACCTTCTCTTCAACTGCATCAAAATCATCCACGATTGCAAGGATTAGCCGCTTTACAACAATGATGAAAATGACACATCTTACAACGAAATTCCAAGATGCCTGTAGTTAAGATAAAATCTTGTTTAAGGTAAAGGACCTAGAGTGATAACAAGCCTCTGCAAGAAAGAAATGCAAAACTCAGAGAATCACTTTACAATTTCGGCCATTGCTTCAGCTAAATAGCCCAGAAATAAAACGCCAGATTTGGAGCTGAAAAATTAGGATTTAATTTGCATTAAAGGAACCTGTGTATAAAGAAAAAGGTCCTGAAAAGTTAATCCCTGATTACTTTCAAGTCAACTCCACAAAATGTAGGTGCAACGAAGTGTCATGAGCAAGCTGAATGTTCAGGAACAAAAGTATGTAAGAATGTTACCTTAGGAAGCCTATCAATCCGGCAGGTATAAACTTCCCTGTTTTGCTGTATCGCATGCACATAAGAATAGCTAAGCACACACTACCACCTAAGGAACAAAAGGATGTATGAAGTGGTTAACGTTACCCAGTAGCAAACGAGCATCTCCCTTTGCTAAGTGATGAGAACCAAGAAGAAGTAGAGCACCGAAAGCGAGTCCTGATACAAGCGACGCAGTGCTGCCTAAAAATATCCGATTAACGCAAAGAATTAAAATACCAGCCCTGACATAGCCCACCACACCACCTCCTCCAACAACTAACCCGAAAAGCAAGCTCAGCGGATCAAACATCAGCTCGGCGCTGGGTCAGAGTCCCCGCTACATAAACAACCAATTTAAATAACACCCATAATACCCATGAATTACAGTAGGCTATTTTAAACACAATAGTACCACTTTCTCATGCTTCCAAGCTTTTGCCGAGTTTAAACAACAACTCAGTAGTAGTTTTTGTTAGGGTTCGATCGAGGTTAAGGTTAAAGTGTGATTTATCCAAACAGACTTTTAAAGTATATCGTTATGCAACAGTAGTTTACAATCGCATTTTTTACTTACCGACCTCTGTGTTAGTGCACCCCACCTTGGTAAATTTGAACTCATTCACAACTAATTTATAGAGCGGGGTTTGCTAGACCCGGCGTTAATGATGAAAAAATTGTTTTTAGTGCTCCAAGGGAAATTCTAAGGTCTCGTGTCATTTCATTTCCAAAGATTGCTTTATTTGATACCATTTTTACCAATTTATAGTGAGCTGCTCCTAGTCACAAGAAGTCACAATAGTGTAGCAGAAAGCGTATTACTGACGTGCAAAATAGCTGAGGCTACTGGCGTGGCTAGGGAACTATGGCTCCAAGCAGATGTAAGCTCTGCGAGAATTTACGTAACTGAGAGAAAAAAAATGGAGAGTAACCACCTACTTAAGCATTACTTGAGTTGTTACCATGTTTTCTGCAAATCGAACCTTACCTCGAAGTGCTTATCTTACTTAGCACTCACGAAAAATAGCCGAAGGTAAGTCATTAAGGACTTGCCTTTTAGAGGGCAGCGGTATTTTTCTTGCAAATGCAATTTATGGTAATACTTAAGCAATTGTTTAAATATCTGCAGTTTTACACCGTTTTTGGAGAGCAAGTGAATAAATCTTGTAGGAAATTATTAAAGCAGATGAAGACTGCTCCACGTCAGTACTCCACAAGATATCTTTGCCCCCGGTGTAGTTTATTTGACCATGCGTCACTCCCTGGCTTCTAAGTTTTCCGATTTAGAGCTAATAATGCACAGGAGGGAATGAATTGACCACAGCCCGATCAGGAAATGTGATACTTCATTATGTGCGTAAATCGGCGTGACTCCGAACGACTTTACTGAAGATACATACAAACGCATTTCCAGATGCGCATTAATAAACCTAACTGCTCTATTGGACTTTTCGATAAAGGGGAACAGTTTCGACCTACCCTCTGCAAATCAAATGTTACTCTACTATAACGAAATTGTAGCACAAAGCGAAAAGCTACTTACAAGTATGATTTTATTTGATTTGAAACAATATAAGACGTGGAAACAGTCGTAGCTCCTTGAGCCTTTCCTCAAGCCCCAATAAGTCATGCACCTAGAAAAGGAGTCTTGCTGATGTACAGAAGGGATGGAGGCTGCTGCCATTGGTTCTGATGACGTGCCCCTCAGAAGTATGAAAGAGGAGTCTTAAATGCCCATGAAACCAAAACAAAGAGTTGAACAAATGATCAACGTGTTGCACAGTCTTGACACCTGTAATGCACATCGAAAATTTACGTGATTCCTTGCCATTTTTGGGATATAATAACGCAACTATTCATTTTGACTTGCTTACGATCGTTTATATGCAAGCTTCATTAAGTATCGGCCCTCTTCCCGATCTCTTTCTATTTCCTTGTATTCTAAACCTTTGTATGCCTGAATTTAGGTTGGATGGGTTTGCATAACCTCCTTGCAATGTCTGTTGTGTAGCACTTGGAGGAGAAGCAGTACGTGCAATGGTAGAAAGCAAGTCTAGGAAATGGGTTCCACCCAATTCCCTCAACAGAAATTATTTGTACCTTGTAATGTTAAAGCGCTAGACGCACTGCTAATTATTCCCAAACGATCCACTTACTAGCCAGCACTTCAAAGGGACGTGGCGGATCATTCCCATGAGATCATGCTCAACTTAAAAAACATTCATCAATTTAGGCAGCAAATGAATTTGAGGCTCAAATACCATTAAAAAGGATGATGCTGACTAACTTCCGAGATCGATTAAGATCCCTTTTTAAACCCCATCAGGGAGAGGTTAAATCCGAGGAATCCTTTTGATACATCCGCTCTCCACCAAGTCATCTTCCCTCACACCATTGTCTTTAAAATAAGCACATTTTTGATGTCAACTAATAATGAACACACTTTGATGGTACCTTTTCTTCCCTTTCTCTACCGCTTCTTAGTAAGTTTTACAAAGTGCTTCTCAATAATTCGTTAATCGCAAGAGTCTGGAGAGGGCAGATGTCCACGTAATTGCCTCCTACACCGCTTCCAGTCATACTCATCGGTCTCTCTGCCTCTCCACTCCCTCGCACCGCATTCAGCTGCGCTTCCATAGATCTGGCTAGGCGTCTTGACAGTCGGGTGGACGGTACTTGCACTAGGCGTTCACAACTGCTGGAGGAAAAGAGGGGAGTGGAATGAGGTTGCAGTGGAGGTGAACGAACTGTCAGATTTCCTGTGTAAGTAGCAATAGCGGAAGCAGTGTTAGAGGGTAGCTGAAAGTCCAGCATTGCATAGTTCAGGGTAGACGTAGCTGTTGACACGACATCTTTTCCGAAGAAGTGTGGAGCTACCGTTGCTGAGCGAGAGGTTGCCGATTTCGTCTCCTGACTCTGTAGAAGGCTCCGTACGTTCTCGTAAGTACCGATGCGATGCTGCAAAGACAAAAGCTAAAATATATTTCTTTCTATTAAAGAAGAATGTCACAATTTTGCATAACTAAACTACCAAGGGTGGTTGATCAATCAGTGGTGATTGCGCGTCGATTTCTTGACTCAGTGGAGGAGCAGATGCCGGTGGTGGAGGCGGAGGTGATGAGAGTTCAACCATCCAATCCGAATCGTCTTCACCATTGTCATTACAGCCTTCTGTAGCACCTGCCCGTCCAGCAATCTCAGCATTGGGTTGTAGGAGGTTTGTCCACGACCGATTTAGCTTTGGAGGGAACAGAGGGATGTTGACGTAAGTCTGATTGCTGATCACCAGTGGTGGTGGCGGAGGAGGCACGGAGGGAGGGGGTGACAAAACGGTTGAGGGACAACAGACAGCCGAACGCGTCTTAAGGGACCTCGAACGCTTCTGATGCTTGATATGAGCCTTAGATGAAAATGAGTGTGAATGAGCCTTCCACCTACTTATAGAGCATAAGTAGGGAGTGTGTTTTGTTGCAATACCTCGAGATTTTGCCGAAACATCGTGATATTTGGGATGCGAAAGAGGTAATGACCTTCGCCATGTGGAGCCCGTCGACCTGTTTCCATCTTGAAGAGACATCCGTGAAAGGCGAACTGACGGAGGGTTGTTAGTGGCCACTCCAATCGTAGAGTCTCCATTTGGGACGTTGAATGCTGATCACATCCAACGAGAGTTTGGACACTTGGAGCATCCAAATCCACGCTCTGACGACTATAACAGAAAAAAAATAAGAGTGGTTAAAGTAAATTCGAGCCAATAAACTACGGTTCTGGAACGCTGTTGAGTTCAGTTGCACATTTGGCCACACGGATCCTCAGTCTCTGTGGGTTTCGCCTCATCACCTTTCGCTAACCTTAGCACGAGTCCATATATCGCAGTTGTGGAAGTGCGTTAGTCCACAACCAGAAACTAAGGTTGGTATTGAAGTAATCAACTGAGTGATTTGACCATTTGTGTTCCAATCAGACTGGGCTCTTTCTCACAGGATCGGCGCGACCCTTTTGACTACCATGCATGGAAGGACGTTGAGTGGGTTACTAACACTCACGTTCACAGCACCTCAACGACCTCTCAATGCCCAACTTTGGAGACATTATGAGTGACATGAGCGAAGGACGCCAGAAAGCTGGTGATGATTCACAATAGGTAGGTCTTCTCTACGTGTATGCGATGACATGTATTCTGACCTCTGTCCGATTGTTTCAGAGTGAACAGTCTTTACCTTTACCTTCGATTCATTCAAAAGTCGTGGGTCTTGTGATCGTAAAAAGCACACTACGGCTTCTAAGAGGGCGAAAAATAGCCACGTAGACAAAAGAAGGGGGAATAATTCATCTTACCTACGCAATGAACAGAGGTGGGTGTTTAAAGAAGGCAGCAACAGTTGTTTGTGATACAGGGATAAATGCAGCCCCTCTGGAACTACCTGCCGCTGCATCACACACGCACATGTCCGCCCATTCGTGATTGGCTAATGGCACTGCAATTCAAGGTGGTGCGTTGGGGATATGAGTGAGGGCCTGTGCACATCAGTCATGCAAGTACGCACTTGAACAAATTTGCAGAATTGGCATGTTCATTACTTGGGGATTCATTCCCTCCAGAACGTAATCAACGACGAATCAGTATTTCCTTTAATATTTGATCCTTTTATTCGCGGTAAGTAATAGAGGATAGTCGAGATCGGTAAAGCGTGTTCATCACCGTTAATGTGGAACTTTGAGGGGTCAAACAGACTTCAGCGCTAGTGCAACCGTTAAATTGGTGAATGTAGTTCCTCCAACCGTGGATGCAATTATTAAAAGTTTCATTGAAATGCACAAAATTATAAACTTCCTGAAATGTAGGCAATTTTAGGTGAGTATTTGGTTTACGGAGTTAAGACCACCACGTAGGTGGTGGTATATCACTTTCAGGGATGACAAATGTGATGAGATGTACCGCCACTGAGGGATACACCCTGATTCTTCGTGGTAGCGGATGTGGCCAAATGGTAGTGCGGAGCTCTCCTGATCTGCCACGCAAGCTCACTAATGGACGACTCCACGAGGGAGAAGTTGGGCTCCATATTGGATGTACACGTTGAGGAAATGAATTTGTTCTTGCAGCACAAGCAGCGCATAACATGACAGTGGTCCCCTCCCTCTTCGATGGCCTTTACGCATGCGTTTCTCAGCCATATTCATCTCAGGCGCAAAAGTATAGCAAGCTTAAGCAGTTCTTTTAGAGGCTGCAAACGAAAAATAGACTTTACCTTTGAGGGAAACTGAAAGCATATTTCTCTTTCCCCTTATCTCTCACACTTTGCCAAGAAGTGAGGGGAGTGAAAATGTGGGAAATGGGGAAGCGCAAGACCACAAACTTGGTGAAAATGCCAAGTCCTGTCAATCGACCGCCAAATGGCAGATTTCTCCGGAAAAACGTGAACAATCACTACTAGACAGTCAACAAGGATAGAGGCAGTAGAAGCAGATGCCATTTTAACAGATGATTTTCTTCCTGTAGGCAACCAGTTACCTGACTGGCGGGATGGCCAGGTGAATAGGCTTGTCTGAAAGTTAGTTCAAAATGAACGTGTTTACATCACTGTTAAATGCCTCTACGTGTTTAATGGTATGTGCCTCACATACTATGCCCACTTTGCGAGTCCAAGGTGCTTCTTCTAGAGCCAATCTCAAATGCGATGCCATGAAGAAACAAGCTTTATTCTACCACTATCTAGGTAAATGTACTTGCCAAAAAGGTTAGAATTTTGTCAAAATTAATCACTATTACTTTAGCAAGAGTAACGATTGATGAATGTGGGCATAGATTATAATCCATTTTTTTAAAAAAACTCGAAAAGTGGGACTGATGGTCTCTCACTTCATATTCACAGCCACACACCTTATAAATATGCCTTGAAGACAGGAACATCTGTCTTTTCCGCATAAAAACACCACTAGCAGCGGTAAGAGTGGCAGTTGAAGGACCACTAGCACTAACAGCAGCAGTATCACCAACTTTGACCGAAATTTTATTCCATTTGGCTTTTTATTGGTCAATGTTCACATTCGGGGCTATGAAATGGAGGTTGGTATGTGCCTGGGTAAATCGACCTCTCTTTCCTCCCATCTGTTCTTACGAGGAATGTTAAAAAGATTCCCATTTTACGGACGGCAAGTTTTCTTACACATGCGTGACATCAGCTAAGGAGACTGAATTACCAATAATAACACAGATAACTTACACAGCCACCATATAATACGGTTATGGACTTGCTAAATGGTCTATTTTAAGCATGTCTAGGTCCCAGTAACAGCTGTGCTAGGTCCCGATTTTCCTTAGGCAGCGAGTGAATTGACCAGTTTGGCACTACAGGTGGCAATGCCATACTAGAACAATATCACATCTAAAAGATTGTGTTTGAGTTCACCTTTAAAGCCTGGTAACAAGGTTGGCGGTTTTGACGTTTTGTGGAATAGCGGGGAAGACAGACCATTACAAATTAACCAAGCAGATGCAGTTTATATGGTGTTGATGTCTATAGTTTGTTCAGTAATATAAGTAGTGTAATAGACCTAAAGACCTTTTCAGCTCCACGAATGGTGATTTTAAAATTTTTTGTGAGTCCGGAGCTTCTTATCTAGCTCTTTGAATTTTAATCATGACGACTAATGGCAAAACTAGAAATTGCGATGTGCTACATTTACTGTGTGGGCACTTGGGCATGCGTGGCTCGATCGCGTCGGACAGCAGACACGAGTACATAAAGTGTTAAGACGTGGCCTAGCCCAAGACAACCAATCAAGTAGTGCTGAAAAGATAGAAACGGTTATAAATACCTGGCTACATTTATGAACTCCATGTCTCTAACATAATACTAGAGGGTTAATAGGCCACGTTTGCAAGGGAAGCTTTGATTTCCCCCCTTTTATAAATAATCTTAAATGGACTTTCTGGCTACGCTTTAATTTGCTGCCAAAATTTTTTAACATGTACGATTTTTAAAGTATCGGGAAGCCGCATATTTAGCTTTTGTTCCATTAAATGATTTGAAAAAAGGATGATATATACCAAAACCGACGCACTTATTTTTCGACTTCTTAGAGAGCAACGTTGTCCAAAACTGTTTGATACCACGTTTCCGTAAGTTTAATGGACTATAGACACTTGACCAGAGCTTTCTTCTACCAGAAAAGCATCTAGACTGAGATGAAAGCAGTGATTGGTAAGAGAAGTTGGTATCATTCTCCATTGCCCAGTAAGATAGATCGAAAAACGTTCCTGAATTCAATTGATCGCGATTGAGTAAGAAGCCATAGTCAAGTGCTAAAAAACAAAAAGAAATATTGAAATAGAGTTAAGGAAGCCATTTGCGCTGCGATGTTTTCAACTTACAGTAATTTTGAGCAGAGGGACTAAGAAGTTCCTGATCACCTGGGCCACCCAAATGGGCTGGAATTTTTAAATCAGAGTCCCTTGATAGGAATATAAGGCAACCATTTGAGCAAGTAAGAAAACCTGTAATTCGACAAGCTTCTAGCCGAAACCGATAAGTCGAGTTTAAACGAACTGCCCCATAGTCCGGTAGATCGGAGGATTCTGACTTTTGAGGTGTGTCCTCGGAGAGAAGCTTAGTGCCCATGCTAAAGACAGTACTGTTTTTCTTAGAGGCTTTTTGAGGAAGCGCCGTCTTTGACAACTCACTAGGATGTGAACGAAGAGTGTTCGCTGACATACGTGGTGTTGCCAAATGAGTGCGAACCATGTGGGCAGGCAATACCGTGGCCTCAAGATGTTGATCGGTTGGCAAATCACCAAGCCAAATACCACATAATTCAGCGTTAAAAGTAAATTGCTGTGCAAATTTTGAACTGTATTGCAATTCAGAGGAAGTAAAATGTAGGGATTCAGCAGTGGGATATGACAAACAATCCATATATATCACACAAGTGAGATAAGAAACAGTGAAAAAATGATGATTTGAAAATTTACACTCAGCAAAGGTATAACGTTTGGATATGTACAGAAATATTGTTTTCTAAGTAACTTCGCAAATAACTTCCTAAATTGTGAGAAGAAACAGACTACTCAAACGCGTTCCCGAACACCAAGATCCGCAAAGTACAGCTAATGTTGTGCGATAAAACAAAACATGGCAGGCTTGTATAATGTGCATCATACTAGTTAACATGTTAAAAAAGTTATAAATTATCGCTTACAATTACTTTGTTTGCTGTCTGTTGTGCCTAAAAAATATCATACTGCTGCCTTACTTCCTAGTATAAATACTGAACAGCACCTATAAAAAGTGCAGCAAACTGGCTTTCTCAGACTGCTTGTTACG